AAATATCTGGCAGCCCCGGCACTGATTAATAAAAACGCGCGTAAATCATACTAACTTTGTTTCAACCGTATCCTCACTGTGCTGACTTTGCATTTCTTTTTCATTTCATTTAAAAAAAATAATTGCTCACCTTCTTATGTGGCTTTCACTTTGAAAAAACCTTTCAACATGCCAAAAGTAAAGTATGAGCAAAAAATTTGGAAAGAGTGGTTGCATAATGACAAAATTAAAAACTGGGGATATGACCAAAGCTTGTTGTAAGTACTGCAAGTGTGAAATTAAAGCGAAAATACAAAACTCAAAGAGTCATGCAGAGACTAAAAAAGCATAAAACTGCAGTTTCATTTAAAGATATTACACCGCTGACATCTGTTTTCAGAACTATACTGATAAATGAATTATTAAAAGTTGAAATATCAGTCGCAATGTTTTTAATTTGTCACTAAGCAATTTCAAACTGTGAGCATTTGATCGATTTGTAAAAAATCTTGGACTAGTTCAATTTGAAAAGTGTGATGTAGAAAGTATAGTTTAGGAACTGAAGGACCTTTTAATCAGCAAACAGTTAGGCTTGAAGAATTTGGCTGTAATTGGTACTGATAATGCCTCAGTGATGGTTGGTATAAACAATGGCGTTTATGCCAAGTTGAAGGAAGCTAACCCATCGTTAATACTTATAAAATGTATGCGTCATTCATTGCAGCTGGCATTATCACATGCTTCATCTAAATATTTACCAAGGAATTTGGAATACTTTATTGTTGAAACACTTTACTGGTTTTCCAAATCATTTGTCAGACAACAGCAATACAATACATTATATACAGCCTTAAATGATGGTTCCACACCACCGAAAAATCTGTCAGATTGCAAAACTAGATGGTTTTCAATTTAACCAGCAGTTGAAAGAATTATGAAGCAATGGCTGAAGTTGAAGACACACTTTGAAATAACAAGACAAAGTGAAAAGTGCCACACAGCTGAAATACTATACGGAATGTACAGTGATGAAAAAAATGTGTCATTCATTCTCTTTTTATAATCTATCCTAATGGAAGTGCAAAAAGTTAATAAAATGTTCTAATCTAAACTTGTTGATAAAGTTAAATTACTTGATGATCTCAAACTGCTATTTTACTCGGTAAAAGACTGGTGTTGCCAACTTCTAAAGCTGATTTGCTCACTTGCACTAGAGAGCTATTTGGCTCCTAAGCCACACCTTGGATATTAAATCGAATGAAAAATTGTTGATTTAAAAACAAAAGAACTGTTAACAGGGAATGAAAAGAACAACTTAAGAAAACGCTGTCCAGATTTCCTTATCTCATTATTGAAGCAGAGACAACCTAAAAAATCTAGATGTTTTGAAAAATATTTCACTTTTTTCTGTGAGCAAGATACTTCAGCCAATTAAGGACATACCTAAATATTGTAAAGTTATGAAATTTTTAGGGGCTACTGATAATAGTGTTGCGGAAGCAGAATATCAGGTAACCAAAATAAAGTTAGCTGAAAGGACAAACAAAACAGAAACTAAAGCGTTTTGGAGTGAAGTGAGACAATTTAAAGATGCCTCATCAAACAGTCCATTCTGTAAGCTCTTTAAAGTGCCATGTCTGCCATGATACTACCCCACTCAAATGCTGACGTAGAAAGAGTTTTCAGTGCTAGGAATTATATCAAATCTAACCTAAAAAACAGGATGAAATGTGACCTCTTAAATGCTATCGTGCCATTAAAATTCGGCCTGATGAGACTAGAGAAATAAGCCTAGTGCTCCACTTATAAAGAAATTTGAACAGCTAAAGCATACCAGGGTCATTTTGGATCTGAAGCTTCAACTTCATTATCCAAGCTAAGTTTATCCTGTGGATTTTGTCAGGCAGACATCAGTAAAGGTGAGGACATGATTATGTAGGGTAAGTCATAACAAAAGCTATGTAATTTTTGACTTTTTCAATTTGGATGTTTTTTCTAGATCTTTTCCACGCAGATTTAGATATTTTTAGATATTTTTGACACCGTTTTGGATATTTTTTGTCAAAGAAAAGTGGCAACACTGGTCCCGCTTGTGTCCAAATGTGCTAGGAGAGCCCAAATATTACCATGCGCGCACACGCACGCACACACACACACACACACACACAAACATCTTATAATTATACTATACTTATAAACTTTGTTCTATTTCTATTAATACAAAACTCGACAGCGATAGAAAAACATAAAGTCACAAACTGCTGCATGTGATATGAGATGTATAAGAAATTTTGTAGCCCAGGTTGCTTATAAACTAGTCTGCCTCAGTCTGGGAGCCCAGGTTGCTTATAAACTAATCTGCCTCAGTCTGGGAGCCCAAATTGCTTATAAACTAGTCTTCCTCAGTCTGGGAGCCCAGATTGCTTATAAACTAGTCTGCCTCAGTCTGGGAGCCCAGATTGCTTATAAACTAGTCTGCGTCAATCTAGGAGCCAGATTGCTTATAAACTAGTCTGCCTCAGTTTGGGAGCCAGATTGCTTATAAACTAGTCTGCGTCAATCTAGGAGCCAGATTGCTTATAAACTAGTCTGCCTCAATTTGGGAGCCAGATTGCTTATAAACTAGTCTGCGTCAATCTGGGAGCCAGATTGCTTATAAACTAGTCTGCCTCAGTTTGGGAGCCAGATTGCTTATAAACTAGTCTGCCTCAGTTTGGTAGCCAGATTGCTTATAAACTAGTCTGCCTCAATCTGGGAGCCAAGATTGCTTATAAACTAGTCTGCCTCAATCTAGGAGCCAGGTTGCTTATAAGCTAGTCTGCCTCAGTTTGGGAGCCAGATTGCTTATAAACTAGTCTGCCTCAATCTAGGAGCCAGGTTGCTTATAAGCTAGTCTGCCTCAGTTTGGTAGCCAGATTGCTTATAAACTAGTCTGCCTCACTTTAGATGGGGGCAAGTTCATAAACAAGAAGGGGGGGGGGGTGCGGGGTGTGTGTGAGGGAGGGGCGTGGGTGGGGGGAGGGGGTTGCAGGGTGTGTGTGTAGGGTGGGGGGGGGTAAAACTTTGAAAAAAAAAAATATATACATATATATATATCTGTCGCTTGCAGAATTTAGGCTGGCTACAGTGTACCAACTGCTGTCTTTGAGAATATTAAGTTGTGAGGCCTCAATCGCTTTCACAGCATGACTCTCCTATCTTTTTATGAAAACCATGAGAACATATTTTTTTCCTCACCGTTCACTGCCGGCAACGAACCCTATCACACGGGGATTATTTAATTGTTGACCTCGTTCACCTGCCTCTAAGTCACGGACTTATTCCTGCATTCAGTCCCAGGTAGGCATGATTTGCACTGATAGATTCTGAGGTATGTGTACTTACAATAATATATATATATATATCTATAAAGACACACACAACGGGGCAGGTTGGAGTGCGGGGAGGGTGGGGTGAAAATAAGAACACTAATGAACAAAAAGAGCTGAAATAATAATTCCCCTAACATGGTCTGTTGCAATAGTTACCTGGAAAACAAAGCATGTAGAAAAGTATTTTATGTAAGGAGTACCCAGTACACATAGAGTGAAATGATTGGTATAGAATTAGTTATTATAGTTTCAAATGTTTAGGTTAATTTTAGTTCAAATAACAAAATATGTAAACTAAAATACAAGTTAGTGTGTTAGTTTAGTTCAAATAATTAAATGCCTAAAAGAAAGTTTATTTTTAGTTCAAACAGTAAAATACTTAAAATAAATACAAGTTCGTAATTTTTAGTTCAAACAGTAAAATACTTAAAATAAATACAAGTTCGTTAATTTTTAGTTCAAACAGTAAAATACTTAAAATAAATTCAAGTTCGTTAATTTTTAGTTCAAACAGTAAAATACTTAAAATAAATACAAGTTCGTTAATTTTTAGTTCAAACAGTAAAATACTTAAAATAAATACAAGTTCGTTAATTTTTAGTTCAAACAGTAAAATACTTAAAATAAATACAAGTTCGTTAATTTTTAGTTCAAACAATGTTAAAAGTTAAGTGCGTATCCTTTACGGGACATTGCAGAACCAACCTCATCATTGTTTGGCTGTTGTGGTTTTCTAAGCAAATTTACGTCTGGTAGTTTGCCATTGCTTACTGGACGGTCGGCTTCTCAAAACCACTGTCGAAACCATCGCAAGGCCCGCAGCTGGGATCGAACCCGGCAAGCCCGGCATTACGAAGCTCGTTGGCAACGCCCAAGTCACAGATGCCGACTAGTTCAAATAATAAAATAGCTAAACTAAAATAACAGTATTCTAGAAATGCTCATCATTTTTTTATAGGAACTTTTCTCTTAATGGAAACAACCTGACATACATCATAGAATATTACTTTGAATAATTCGCACAAAATCATAAAATACATTGAAACAATCATGTCTAGCATTTGTATCAATTACTCGTAAAATCTATACATTCTCTTAAAAAGGGAACCAATATAAAAAGAAATTGCACAGACAAAATAAAACAGAAATATATACATCTTTGTCAAAGTCATTTATGTATATGGCCCTCAACATTTACCACGGGAAAACATAATCTGGCATGCGTTTAATTTTCTCAGCTTTCTCGCACTACTTATCTCGTATCCTACCACTTTCTTTCATTCATTCAATTATTTTTTCACTAAATCAAATAATCATTTTCTCTTCCATTTTACTTTCCTTACACCTGCCTCTTATTAATTTCATGTGGGATGCAATTTTTAGTTATTTTGAAGCCCCACTTTTTCCGGTGGCCCTGAATATAGCCGGGTCTGAAATATGGCCTAACTGCTGAACGGGGTTTCCGGTACCTCTCCATGGGTGATCCTTATCCGCATGGTGGTACTTTGTGTCACCGGGTGTTTATCACTTGTGTGATATCCTGGTGGGTACGACTTACATTCATACATATATACACACAGCCTCTTATTCTATGGTGACCCTTTTCTTTCTTTATTTTTCTAACAAGGCACAATTTCTATTTTACAAATATCACAAATTAACTGGGTCATTCTGTCGGACAGCACCGGATACAGGTGAGCGAAACACCTAGGGAAAAAATATAAAATAATTACATAAATGAAGATAAATGTTATCTTTATGCAAAGCTGTAGGATTCGGTGGAAATGCCTTTAAATGAAACATCGACACAGGTTTACAAAGATGGTTCTGACGTGTGTTTTAAATCTGGTCATGATTTAAAATAAACTTATGTAAATTAAGTGGACTGAACTGCGGTAAAATTGTCATAATGTCAAAAGTCATTCAAAAATAACTGGTGTTATATAAAAGTCGTACCCATGTGGGATATAATTTTTTTTTTGAAGCCCCACCCTGGTTTTTGCCCGGGGCCCTGAATATAGCCGGGCCATTAATATGGCTTAACGACTGAAAGGGGTTTCTGGGACGTTTCCACGGGTGATCCCCCTCCACATGGTGGCACTGTGTCTTACCGGGTGTTTATTGCTTGTGTGATGGCCTGGTGTGGTACAACTTACCTACCTTACCGAACTGGTGATTTGTTTTGCTTTATTTTGTTGTTGTTTTTGTTTTTGTTTGTTGAAGTTTCTCTTTGAAACATTCTTTGGTAATAATAATGGTAACTGTGTCAAGCTGACCTATACAGCATAGCTTCTAACTGTTCACAGAATTAACGTTTCTATGTAAACACTAAACATGTAAACAGGAAGCGTCTGAAAAAAAAAACTTCTAGCAATGCTTGATATATACAAAATGAATTGATGAATGAATCAATCAAGAACTGATGTTCCTGCACTTAGGACATTTCCCACATGGGCTCTGTCTCCTGCCTCGGTAGCCAACGAAGAGTTGACATGCTAATAGTTTAAGGTTTTAGACAACGGATCAACATCATGACACAAGGGTAGTAACCCATAAGTGCTCCGTTCTACTTTTGACTCAAGCCTGATACCACCCACCCCCTCCCCCGCTAAATTAGTCTGTCATTGTTTTCATATTCAGTCTGTTCTGTTGCAATCTTCACTTTATCCCAGAGAGCATTTCCAACATCTGCTTTGTCACTAAGTAGCTCCCCACAAATAGGAGCGGCAGCAGCAATTCTGTCAGCAGCTCATTACCCCGTACATGCAACTGTCCTAGACAAAATAACCATGATATGCTTCGGATAAGTGAGTCTTATCAAGCGATGCAAGTCACTTTACTCGTATGATGCTAGTTTTTTTTTTTTTTTTTTCGAAGCACGCTCTGTGAGCACATATAGAACACCTTTTAATACCAGCTTGAACATAAATGTGAATGACTCCTTTCACGATCAAAGTAAAGTAAGTAAAGATCGCTTTTGGCGCACCGGACAAAGGGAATCCACTCGTAACGCCTAAGCCAGGGACGCCGCGATCTTAGTGTTTGACTTATATTTTTTCAGAGACCAGCCTTCTCTTCTTGAGTGATGTGGTTAACATCACGCTGACCATCTTTACCTCCCTAAACATTTAACACCCATTGTAGGCTAAGTAGAGCTGGCAGTCAGGGGACATTGTGGTAAAATGTTGGCTTTTACGCTGATTTGATCTCTAGATTCTGTGCGAGCAGGTGAGCATCTGAACTTTACCGTCTCAACTTTACCGTGATAACTTTACTGTCTAGATTTTATTCTCTCGACTTCACCGTGGCTCTAGAAAAATAGAAGCAACTGTTTTGAAGATAAGACGGGTGGATGTCAGGGAGAGGACACGGGGTATAAAAGACATGAAAATATCAGACAGGCAAATCATGGCTTCTGTAACATGTATCATCACCACCACTTTCTGACTGGCATGGGCGATCATGCCTCTCCACAATCTGCGATCTTCAGCAGCATATATCAGTCTGCGTTTGACTTTTATAATACATTTATTCACTATTATTTTCTTTGATAATACCACTACTTCCGACTTCCCATCATTGTCTATTTTATCCCTTTCTACCACCATCGTATCTATCACTCTTTGCAGTTGTTTCTGACTTGTCGCTGTCAAGATGGTGTCATCAGTATAATCCACGCTGTTTATGTTATGACAACCAGACACAATTTCTGGCATATCCACAATAGATCACATTATATATAAAGTAAGTATTCAAACCTTTAAAACTGCGTCATGATTGATGATCCTGACACTGGGAGACTTGAGCCAAACATTGGAGAAATCTCGATAGAATGTTAACACAAACGTCACAATAGATGCTGCGGTCAGCCATTCAGAGACTGTAGATATTAAGTAGACAGCTCTCAGTGCATCCTAGTGGAGATAGATTAATGGAATTCGTGAAGAAAAACAAACACACACACACACACAACACAAGGCAAACATACTGATACATTGGCATATGTGTGTATACGCACATATATGTCATAGCCGGTTAGTATGTAAACAATTTTCTCATCATAATATCAGTTGGGCAACTATGATACAAATTTGTTTAATTTCTCACCAAGTTGTTCATTAAATGCATTTGTCTGTGTGCCAGGCCATAGGCCATGCGGGTGATCAAGGCGATGAGTGTACAGATTATAAGGCAGACAAGGCAGTTACTACGACTGTTTTAACTTCCTATCAATGTGTATGTTCATCATTCCACAAACTTACTATCACTTTACAACCTCTCTAATTATTTATTCACCACTCTGCCACCATTATACTAATTTATCCATAGATCTACCACCACACAAATTATTTACTCATCACTCTACCACCACTCAAATTATTTACTCATCATTCTACCACCACTCTAAATATTTACATACCACCTTGTCACCAATCTATGTTTTTTACTAATCATTTTACAGGACTCTAATTATTTACTTATAACTCTACCACCACTCTAATTATTTGTTCAATATTCTGCTTATTCACGCATCAATCTACCACCACTTTAATTACCTGCCCAACACTCGGCCACCTCTCTACGTATCCACTCAACACTCTGCCAGTACTCTATTTATTAGCTCGTTACTCTATAATCTTTATATTTAATCACCCTGCCGCCATATTCTTAGTTACTTATCATTCTAGAGCTACAATAATTTTTTTAACGCTACCATCACTCTAATTAGTTACTCATCACTCTGTCACCACTCTACTTCTTTACTGATAACTTTACCGCCACTGTCCATGTGAACGATTCTCAACCAGTTTCCATTTATTCTACATCTTATTCAGAGTGCTACTTGGGCCTTGCGTTGGTTTCGACAATGGTATCGAGAATCCGACCGTTCAAGGAGCAGTGGCAAACTATTGGACGTAAACTTGCCTAGAAAAACAGAAACGGTCAACAAATGCTGGGGTTGGTTCTGCAACGTCATGTAAAGGATACGCAACTAACTAATTTGGAAAACAGTTGTTAAATTCATGCAAATGTGACCTCAAACCATGGCCACCATGTTTTATTTGTGAGATATAAACGTCATACTTACAAACTTTGTCCCATGTCCTGTATTTTCATACAGCTTGTACACCGTTTTACTAACAGCAACTAAAGATAGGTTAAGGAAATTACCGATATCAGCAAATTGCACCACCTAACAATGAATAAAAAAATAAGCCATATGTATGCAAATATGTTCAAGTCCATTGTTTTTTTCCCCTTTAAAATGGGACCACAGAACCCCTACAAGAATATATGTACATTCTTGTAGGGGTTCTTGGGCCTGATTTTAGGGGGAAAGAACAGACACCCACCTCTTAACAAGCATGTTGTAAAAGGGATGAATTAGGGATGAAATGAAAAAAGATGTTTTGTTTTGGGTTGTATACACACACACACACACACACACACACACACACACACAAATATATTGCTTCTGTTGATATGCTGCTACACAAAATTCATGATGATTCTTCCTTTTCTTCTGCATCTATCTGATATTGATGAATAACTTTGTGTTGCTTGTTACCCTCAGTAACTTTTCAGCATTTGTTTTATTTGCTGCTATTATAATGAAGCTCCGCTATCAGGTTCCAGTCTTGGTATAGCCCCTGTGTATTTTGATTTGTATGTTCTCTAGTGCATTTGTCTGTGGCTAAGGGTTGTGAACACAGTTTCACAATTCAGACATGGTGACTCTGAAGTCAATCTCATAAAATGCAGCAGCGATTTTGCTTTAATTTTGACCATGATATGACCCTACCACGCAGAAAGCAATGGCAAATTGCTGGTAGTATCATATCTTAGTAAAAATTTACAACAGCCACCATATTTTTAGGTCTGTTTACAGCATCCTGTAGAGGATATGTAACAAGTATGCACTCTTGTCTCTATTTTATTTTCTTTGTTTCTTTGAGTGTTAATTTATAGTTGTGAATTTATTTATTCTGGGATTGGCATTACATCAAACATCGAGGTTCTGTTGGTGAACAAAGGCGTTTTTCTCTTGAAAAATTTGTTCAGGAGCCGAGGTTATGTTCTGAAACCAAAATATTTTTTCTCTTATAAAATTTGTTCAGAAACCGAGCTTCTGTTCTGAAAATTGTCCAGAAACCAAATTATTCCAAAAGATTGGTGTCTGAGAACTGGTTCCACTGTTCTTCATATTGATATTCTTTTTCTAAAGTTTTGCTAACTAGAATAGACCAACTTCTGACCACTGGTACAGTTTTCTTATTTCCACCACCGCCACAACCACCATTACCACAAACACCACCGCCACAACCACTACCACCACAAACACCACCACCACAACCACCACTACCACAAACACCACCGCCACAACCACTACTACCACAAACACCACCACTACAACCACCACTACCACAAACACCACCACCACAACCACCACTAACACAAACACCACCACCACAACCACTACTACCACAAACACCACCGCCACAACCACCACTAACACAAACACCCCCACCACAACCACTACTACCACACACACCACCGCCACAACCACCACTAACATAAACACCACCACCACAACCACCACTACCACAAACACCACCACCACAACCACTACTACCACAAACACCAGCGCCACAACCACCACTAACACAAACACCACCACTAACACAAACACCATCACTAACACAAACACCACCACAACAACCACTACTACCAAAAACACCACCACCACAACCACCACTAAGACAAACACCACCGCCACAACCACCACGACCACAAACACCACCACCACAACCACTACTACCACAAACACCACGGCCACAACCACCACTAACACAAATACCACCACCACAACCACTACTACCACAAACACCACCACCACAACCACTACTACCACAAACACCACCACCACAACCACTACTACCACACACACCACCGCCACAACCACCACGACCACAAACACCACCACCACAACCACTACTACCACAAACACCACGGCCACAACCACCACTAACACAAATACCACCACTACAACCACTACTACCACAAACACCACCACCACAACCACTACTACCACAAACACCACCACCACAACCACTACTACCACAAACACCACCACCAGGAACATTGTCATGATTATCATGTGGTAATAATTTTGCACACACAAAATATCCTGTTCAACCCTCAAGGTTACAGTTGAGATAAAGTGTGTTCATCGAGTTCTCAGAGTATATATTTGTTATTTTATATATCCTGTAATTATTTGTAGAGGACAATTATGTAAATTGTATTACTTTTGCAAATATTGATTTGTTTATACTTTCTGGATTGTTATTAAGACATAAAATGTACAATAAATATTTACATACTCTTACCAACATTGTGTCAACTAAACTGGATTTATCATGCCCTTAGTAAAATAACTGATTAACTTTGGCAATTTTAATTTTAAAAGATGGCATGGGTAATCTTTACCTTTCTGTATATGGATTTAATGTCTAGTAATAAACAGTCTGACCTTGCCCCACAGGTCTCTTATCCTATCTTTGTGCAACAACCTGTGATTTGGCAAACGGTACAGGTGATCATTTTCCAACACTACCTTCTTCCATGTTCTTGTTAATCTCAACGACCGATTTGTATATGCCAGAAAGGATACAGACAATAAGACACACTGTCAGAGCAATACTGTTAACTAGTTGACTGATGGCCACGCAGGTCCACCTGGTGTGTCTGATGGACAAGGAGGTTTGCATCCAACAGTAAACTGACCCCAGAGCAAAGGCCAAAGTGGCCCCTGTGTAATGAGCAGCTCGCATGTCCACTGTCTGAAAAATACAATTGAATGCTTGTGTTGATGAGTAATGAAAGGTATGTATAATGTCATAGTTACATTTCTTGATATTGCAGAAAAAATATTTGTAAATAGCTGCATCTTGTGTCTGTCTGTAGAGGCAAAGGCAACCACTAGACGATTACTTGTGAATGCGAAGGTCATGCATCCAAATCCAAAGCAAGCTGGAGCAAAATAATGACCCTCGCTCCTAGGTCGACCCAGTCTTAAATGGGTACCAGGAGAAGTTCTGGAAAATAAAGGCGGCTGGCATGATGTTAACAATGCCACCCAATAAGTGCCAATTATTCTATTCAAAAAAATGTCTAGCACTATATGCCAAAAATAGTTGAAGACGTAGAAAATGGTCCTTTAAATAATTTTCTTCCCGGTAATGGGCTGAAACATTTGTTGATAGGGAACCTCTACTGGTGATCGGTAGGCTTCTAGTGTGCATGTTCCCCACGTGAAGTACTTTCTTCTTTCAGTCCAGGCTGCTTCCTGAAGACTTGACCATCCTTGTGTTGAGTTGCATCTGGTATAGGAATGGACGGAGCAAAACTCATACTAATCAAGCTTTAAAGACATTAGTATTAGGGCCCACTTGAAAACTACACCAGGCATTACCTCAGTTTATCTTGAAGTGCAGTGCGCGTAGGAACTGGGCTGCAAAAAATATCATCATCCTCAAGAGCCTTGCTGACTGGTGGGGGTGATCGTGCTTCTCCACAATTTAGGATCTCCAACCAGGGCCATTTAGCGCATGTGCCTGCTGGGCTTTTGCACAGGGGTGTCATGAGCATAGGGGTCCCATGAGCATAGTGCTCCCATTAGTACAGTGGTTCCATGAGCATGGTGCTCCCATTAGTACAGGGATTCCATGAGCATGGTGCTCCCATTAGTACAGGGCTTCCATGAGCATAGTGCTCCCATTAGTACAGGGCTTCCATGAGCATAGTGCTCCCATTAGTAAGGAGTTCCATGAGCATAGTGCTCCCATTAGTACAGGGCTTCCATGAGCATAGTGCTCCCATTAGTACAGGGCTTCCATGAGAATGGTGCTCCCATTAGTACAGGGATTCCATGAGCATGGTGCTCCCATTAGTACAGGGCTTCCATGAGCATAGTGCTCCCATTAGTACAGGGCTTCCATGAGCATGGTGCTCCCATTAGTACAGGGCTTCCATGAGCATGGTGCTCCCATTAGTACAGGGCTTCCATGAGCATAGTGCTCCCATTAGTACAGGGCTTCCATGAGCATGGTGCTCCCATTAGTACAGGGCTTCCATGAGCATAGTGCTCTCATTAGTACAGGGCTTCCATGAGCATAGTGCTCCCATTAGTACAGGGCTTTCATGAGCATAGTGCTCCCATTAGTACAGGGCTTCCATGAGCATGGTGCTCCCGTTAGTACAGGGCTTCCATGAGCATAGTGCTCCCATTAGTACAGGGCTTCAATGAGCATGGTGCTCCCATTAGTACAGGGATTCCATGAGCATGGTGCTCCCATTAGTACAGGGCTTCCATGAACATGGTGCTCCCATTAGTACAGGGCTTCCATGAGCATGGTGCTCCCATTAGTACAGGGCCTCCATGAGCATGGTGCTCCCATTAGTACAGGGGTTCCATGAGCATGGTGCTCCCATTAGTACAGGGACTCCATGAGCATAGTGCTCCCATTAGTACAGGGCTTCCATGAGCATGGTGCTCCTATTAGTACAGGGGTCCCATGAGCATGGTGCTCCCATTAGTACAGGGCTTCCATAAGCATGGTGCTCCCATTAGTACAGGGGTCCCATGAGCATAGTGCTCCCATTAGTACAGGGGTCCCATGAGCATAGTGCTCCCAGTAGTACAGGGGTCCCACAAGCATAGGGCCCCATGCTACTAACTCAAAGAGTTCGGCCAGGAAGCCCAAGATGATTGAGATTGACTGGGCTCAGAGACAGTGAATGGAGCCTCTGATGTGCGCATGGCTGACATAAATCTTTTTCACTGGTATAGCCACTACACGGTGATTCTAAATAAATCCCCCCTCCTCGTATATACATAACCACCTAATTACCTATCGTCTTAGCTAACTAACATACTACTGACTCGATCAATCAACCAATCAGTCAATCAGCATAGCTTTTACAGACCGTTGCACTCTCCACGCCATGTCTAAAGTTCTCTCTTTCTCTAGCCAATTCTCCTGCCCTGTGTGCTATTACAGCCAATGCATCTTTCATGTCCTGTGTTCACCTTCGCGGAGGTGGGCCTCTGCCTCAAGTTCCGGAAACTGCAGCCTCCATTAACGTCCTCTGCAGACCTCTGCCTGACGTGTCCAAAATATCTCAGCTTTCGGGAGAGTATGTTGTTTATGAGCTACGATGTTCAGATCATCAAGGATGTCAACGAGTTTGTTATTTTGAGTCTACGGTATTCTAATGATTTTCTTCTGTAGCTTTTAAGCTCAAAAGCTCCAATTTTTTCTTCAAAGACTGAAGCAACTGACTACCTATCCACTGAACTAACTGAGTAACTAACTGACAGAACCTACCTGAAAGTTGGCCACCACTGTGAGCCCAAAAGCGGAGACAAATCCGATGCCTAGAGACAGCTTATTGACTCGCTTGTCTCCCTTGGTGGCAGAGAGCAGGTTCAGAACCTCAGTCATCTGCTTGTATCTGATGTAGACGTTTGCTGCCACTGAAACAGAGAAGTTGTGGGTGTGTGTTAGTGGGAGATAACAGCACAAAACTCTTACTTGGATCAGTGTTTCTCAATCTGTTTATACCCGCGGCCCACCAAAAAAAGGAGGAAACTGTTTCGCGGACCACCTAATAGCTGGCCAAACACAGAAACCGTTGCAGGGGCTGCAATATAGCCCGGCCATAAATATGGCCTAATGGCTAAACGCAGTTTCTGGGACCTCTCCGCGAGTAATCCTCATCCACATGGTGGCAATTTGTGTCATCGGATGTTTATCGCTTGTGTGATGTCCCGGTGGGGTAAGAGAAGATACATAGAAAACTACGATGTGACAAAAATGTTCAGCTGTTACGTCATCGTCAGATTCTTATTCTTGAGGTTTTAGTCCTACAGACTGCGATCATTGAAGAGGAAATCTACCCACCCTACCCCGTTATGTGATCAAGTAGACCATGTTGGCGACTCGGCTGGATTGTTCCGCTACCAACCGGTTGAAGAATACTTAGATCACATTTGTATAATTCTTCTCATGATTCTGTCCTTATTTTCCTCTTATTACTTTGTTTCCACTTTGTCTGTCTCGTCCAGAAAGCAATGGCAAACAACTGGGTGTAAATTTGAGTAGAAAAACCACAACAGCCAAAAAATGTTAGATTTGGTTCTGCAACGTCCTGTAAAGGATAAGCAACTAACTTTTTTTTTTAAATCTGTCTATCTGCTAATATCTGTCCGAATGTCTGTCTATCTCTTTGAATTTTCTTTACTTTTACCTTTCTTTATATCTTTCTTTTATGCTTTCGAAATATTTACCTGCCTGTCTTCCTTTTTTTCTTCTTCCATTCAAATCTTTCTTTCTTTCTCTGTGTCCTTATGCTTGCATACGTATCTGACTGACAGTCGGACTTTTCCCCCTTTCTTTAACTTTCTTCAGATATTTCGGTAATTCTTTCTCTCTGTTTACTTCTGCTTCCGAGTGATCGGCCAGCTTTCCATCCTCTGAGTGTTGAGCTATGAACTCGTAGGTCCTTAAGCGCTCCGTTCTCATCTTTAGCAGCCAGCGAAGAGTTCGATTTCGATAGTGCAAGAAGCAGTTTGATAGATGTGGCTAAATTCTCTTTAGAACCACAAGTTTTGGTTTAACTAAGAATGAATGAATAAAGCAAGAACTGACATCACTGCTCTAGGGATGTTCCCATACTTGAGCCATTCCCCTCTTCAGTAGCCAGCTAAAGCTGCGACCTGATTAAAGGTCAGCCTATGTGCCTATGTGTTGAATATCTTCTAGAACCCCTTCCCCCATCCAACCTCTCCAACCCCTGAATTAGTCTTTCAGTGAATGGATTCTCTGTTCCACTGCACTGTCCATTAATCACCGCAAGCTTTCAGCACGTCCGCTTTATCATCAAGTAGCTCATCGCCCAGAGAGGCTTGGTCAAGCGTACACGTATGATTAAAATGTCAGCTTGGCAACAGTACATTGGGGATATCACAGGCTGGTTTATACATTTAAATAAGATCTTTCTGTTTTCAGCGAGTCACATACTGTATGTGTGTGTAATGACCTTAAAAAATTGGTTGTTTAAGGTGTTTCCTGGTGTTCGGCGTGCTCTTGATTGGTCTTTTGAAGTGTGTATTACAACAGATCCATGTTAACACGAACTCCAAGCGGCCGAAAATCAACATTTTGTTCTTCTTAAGTGATTCATGTTACCGAGGTTTTATTGGCTTTGGCATAAAGGCAGTAAAACCTCGTAGATCGAAAGTAGAACAGTCAGGCAGACAGATTTAGATCAAGTTTTGATTGAAAAGGCAGGTTACAGCTAGATGTGTGGATAGCTGAGGTGTGTGGATAACTGATGTGTGTGAATAGCTGAGGTTCTGGAGGATAAATGGTGTGTGTGTGGATAGTTAAAGTTGTGGTGGATAACTGATGTGTTGATATTTGACGTTGTGGTGGATAACTGATGTGTGTGGATAATTGAGGTTGTGGTGGATAACTGATGTGTGTTGATAGTTAAGGTTGTGGTGGATAACTCATGTGTGTTGACAGCTGAGGTTGTGGTAGATAACAAGTTGTGTAGTTAAGGTTGTAGTGGATAACAAGTGTGTGTGTGTGGATAGTTGAGGTTGTGGTGTGAATAGCCGGGGTATGTGGATAAATAAGGTGTATGGATAGTTGAAGTATGTAGATAGTTAAGGTATGTGTAGATAGAAGAGTTGTGTGATGGATAACTAGTGTATGTGTGTGTGGATATTTGAGGTTGTGGTGTGAATAGCTGGCGTATGTGGATAGATAAGGTGTATGGATAGTTGAGGTATGTGCATAAATTAGGTGTATGGATAGTTGGGGTATCTGGATAGTTAAGGTATGTGGATAGTTAAGGTATGTGGATAGTTAAGGTATGTTGATTGATAAGGTGTATGGATAGCTGAGGTATGTGGATAGATAAGGTGTAGGATAGTTAAGGTATGTGGAAATATGAGGTGTATAGACAGTTAAGATATGTGGATAGATAAGGTGTATGGATGGTTGAGGTATCTGGATAGTTAAGGTATGTGGATAGTTAAGGTATGTGGATAGATAAGGTGTATGGATAGCTGAGGTATGTGGATAGATAAGGTGTAGGATAGTTGAGGTATGTGGAGAGATGAGGTGTATAGATAGTTAAGATATGTGGATAGATAAGGTGTATGGATAGTTAAGGTGTATGGATAGATAAGGTATGTGAATAGTTAAGGTATGTGGATAGACAAGGTGTATGATTAGTTGGGGTATGTGGATAGATAAAGTGTATGGATAGTTAAGGTATGTGGATAGATAAGGTGAATGGATAGTTAAGGTATGTGGATAGATAAGGTGTATAGATAGATAAGGTAGTGGATAGATAAGGTGTACGGATAGTTGAGGTATGTGGATAGTTGAAGTATGTGGATAGATAAGGTGTAAGGATAGTTGAGGTATGTGGATAGTTGAGGTATGTGGATAGAAAAGGTGTATGAAAAGTTGGGGTTTGGATAAGGTGTATGGATAGTTAAGGTATGTGGATAAGTAAGGTGTATGGATAGTTAAGGTATGTGGATAGATAAGGTATATTGATAGTTAAGGTATGTGGACAGATAGGGTGTACGGATAGTTGAGGTATTGGATAGTTGAGGTATGTGGATAGATAACGTGTAAGGATAGTCGAGGTATGTGGATAGTTGAGGTATGTGGATAGAAAAATGTATGGATAGTTTTGGTATGTGAATAGTTAAGGTATGTGGATGATTAAGGTCTGTTGATGGATGAGGTATATGGACAGCTGAGGTATGTGGATAGATAAGGTATGTGGATAGTTAAGGTATGTGGATAGTTAAGGTATGTGGATAGATTTGATATGTTGATAGTTAAGGTATGTTGATAGATGAGGTGTGTGGTGGATAGTTGACGTATGTAGCTAGATGAAGTATGTTGAAAGATGAGGTGTGTGGATAATTGAGGTGTGTGGTTAGTAGGGGTGTGTGTGATTAGGTTAAGTAATTTGAAGAATTTAACTTGAGCGGGTGAATGGATTTACCCATGAATGAATTAACAGGCAGGCGGACAGACAGCAGGCAAATAGCCAGGCCGACTGACAGACATACAAACAGACAACTAGCTAGCAACCAGATATACAGTTAAAGTTTTCAATGAAATGGTGAATGTAGCTTAACAAATAACCACCGATACAACACAACAGAATAAGCAAAATAATTATTGCAACTATAATAACACACGAAAATTTCCCTCTATCACAGTCAGAGGTTAGAGTTCATTAGGTCACCGTCATTATGTGGGAAAATTGGCCACCACAGGGTTCTGCTGGCTTTGGTGCAGATCGTTTAGCGGGCCATTTGCTTCCGGTTATTCATACTCACGTGGCCGATGTCAGGAAACAAGGACCATGGTCATAAAGCATGTCAGTTTAAAGCCTGGCATTGGGGTCAGTTGATCATGCCCCTCTACTGCTCTTATTCTGTCGTTAGTCCGTCCAGTATAAAAAAAAAAAAAAGGCGGGAGATGTGAATCAGCGTCAAAGCACACGGTTGTAAACCATAAGTGCTCTGCCACCAGTACAGACAGCTGATAAGAAACTGTCCGCCTGTGACGCCGTCCGCATGAAACCCCGTAGCTACAGTGACGTTCCTCCATTTACCCCAGAGTGTTAATCTGGTACCTATTTCCTAGTGGCTGGGTGAACTCCGGGAACAGATCGGTTTCGAACCCCGGCCATGGGCTGCAGCGAGTCGCAACTGGATTTAAAAAGCGAGTCTCCTATCGACTGCGCTAACGCGACCCCCAGTCCGTCCAGCGAACTCACTAAGCGTTAGTCCTTACATGATTTACTTGGTTTCACCCAAATGTTATACAAAACCACTTTATCCTAATGATCCCTAAACATCTCCTGATAGAGTGTATCAGGACCCATTACCAGGCCTTCGGGCTTATTCGGCGTACAGGGCTAGAACTATATTGTATAGACTAGTCGGTCCTTGATGGATGATCAACAGCACGCCGGCAGCCTTTACTTTCCATGACTCTACCTAGTACCCATTTAAGGCTAAATCAACCTGGGTAACCAAGGTCATTTTTGAGGGGGGGGGGGAAGTCCGGCTTCGTCAGAACTTGAATCCATAACCTTCCTATCCGCAGGCTAGCCTCTAGCCGCCACACCACGGTGGCTTCCCGTGTCATAGTGTGCTCATATTTAATCCACTCAGAATCAAGCATCTAATTTTAAAGTAACAACTTGTTAAGCCAGATCAAGTTAAAGGTATGCCTGCCTCAGACTGAAAGATTATATCCTGTTACTTAACAGTTTTCGCAGTCAGCCTGGGGATGGAGTTATGCTATGTATCACAGTTAACACCACTGGGCATTAAGCAGTCCAATGTGTGCTCACTTCTCCTAGTATCAACCACTCCACGGCACTTCTACTGATTGATTCCATAAGGAGTTGATTATAATGTCGCCTGTCACAACCACGAAGCAGCGTAAACGTGCTTCACACTAATTTACTTCAAGGTCGCGCAATCGTGTTAGTGTCAAAGATGTATCTATACCTATTAGTGCAGTCCGAGCAGAATTGACGACATTTGCCATGTCCATGTTTCTTCCCGCATTGGTTAACGCATTGCTTACCATTCGGTCGCTTGTTCATTGCCTTTTTACACCTGCATTCCCATGTGTATAGATCCAGGGGAGGGGGGTTAGGTGCGATATCCGAATGCTTATTCCCAGGGCTTCTTATTTCTAGACAAAAATGTGCCGGTAGTTACCACAAAGTGTCTAAAAATAGGTACCGGTACTCACCACAGAGTGTCTATTACATTTGCACTGAAAAAACTGACGCCTAAAAGGTGCCAGTACTGCGTACCGGCAGAAAGGAAGCCCGGCTTATTACCCATTCAGAGCGTATGCTCCTATTGCGATTTTCTGAAGCATGTACCCGGAGCCTGATACGATTCCGGGAGGGAGTGTCAGGATTACTTGATCCTGTCTCTCTCCCGGCTTCCCTCGTCAACCACAGGAGGGAGTGTCAGGATTACTTGATCCTGTCTCTCCCCTAGCCTCACTCATCAACCACAGGAGGGAGTGTCAGGATTACTTGATCCTGTCTCTCCCCTAGCCTCACTCATCAACCACAGGATGGAGTGTTAGGATTACTTGATCCTGTCTTTCCTCTAGCCTCCCTCAACAACCAGAGGATGGAGTGTTAGGATTACTTGATCCCGTCTCTTCCCCGGCCTCACTCATCAACCACAGGATGGAGTGTTAGGATTACTTGATCCTGTCACTCCCCTAGCCTCACTCATCAACCACAGGATGGAGTGTTAGGATTACTTGATCCTGTCACTCCCCTAGCCTCACTCATCAACCACAGGATGGAGTGTTAGGATTACTCGATCCTGTCACTCCCCTAGCCTCACTCATCAACCACAGGATTGGGTGTTAGGATTACTCGATCCTGTCACTCCCCTAGCCTCACTCATCAACCACAGGATAGAGTGTTAGGATTACTTGATCCTGTCACTCCCCTGGCCCCCCTCGTCAACCACAGGATTGAGTGATGGGATCACATGGTCCTGTTACTTCCCTGTACCCTGACACCCTCATGAAGCTAGTCAGCTCCAGTGTGGGGTGTTAGGGTCACTCCTCTGTCCCCTATTCTCATAGCCAAGTTAATCACACCTAAAATGGAGTGTTGGGCTCTCGTAACCCCACTAATCCACTGACCCGTACTCCTCTTATCTCGCCAGGTTAACTTTACCGTTTACATTTACAGACAACACAAGCTACTCACTCATGAAAGCTCCAATGTTAACAAACTGAGCGAACACACATCTCTCTGGCGCTTTGATGGCGCTATGGCTGGAATGACACATACTGTAAATATTTCAGTTGTGAGCAGCAATGTTCTTCGGTAAAAGTAGGTAATGTAATGGCGATAAAAGGTGGATTTGTTTGTGACCCATTTATTTCCACAGCTACCTGGCCCCGCCGCCAGCAACAAGAGATAAGACATAAAAGAGGGTTATCCGTATCGCAGACCAGTGAGACAACGTCCGTAGGATAAACGGCGGTTTCTTAATAAGAAACTGTAAGATTCTTGAAGATCCTGTCTTCTTTAAAAAATGCTGCCCACAAGCAATTAATGTGTATGTAATATTGTTTATCTTCCATTTATCTTTTTATGTGTGTCCGTGATTTAGAATTGTATTTTTCTATTTGTTTTCTTGTTTCGCTATTATCTATCCTGACAAGGGCCGAATTTTTTTTAAAAATTACCTCGGCTCCCAGGTTAACCCAGTCTTGAGTGGGTACCAGGTACAGTCTGGGAAGTAAAGGCGGCCGGCGTTATGCTGTCCACATCACCCACCAAACGCCGTTTGTTCTATAAAATATAGGTCTAGCCCTATATACTTAATATATATCTATATCCTATATACCCTATACGTCTGTGAGGCGTGGAAATATGTCCTTTACTTTATGTGTGTGTGTGCGCGCGCGCGTGCGTGCGTGCGTGTGTGTGTCTTTATATGCATGTTTATGGGTGCATGTATGTTTATGGGTGTGTATGTATGTGTGTGCAAGTTCAATGCTAGGTGTGTACGTGTGCGTGTGTGAGTGCATTTTACAAATCGTGCTTTTTTCTTGATATTCGTAATATGCATATCATTATATCAACATAACATGCTCTACTGCTAAAATACAACTTCTGTGTGAAATAAGGGTGTTTGGAAGGGTCAAATGTAAGAAGGGCCTGCGTGCCCAATTTGTGACCCTTTGAAAAAAAAAAAGGTTTATTCGTTCAAGGCTGGGTCGACCTGGGAGTCAAGATCTTTTTTGAAAAAAAAAATCTGGCTCCGCCAGGACCCGAACCCGAGACCTTGCGATCCACAGGGGAGTGTCTAGCGGCTACGCCACTGAGGCTCCGATTATAAACAATAGTAAACCATTAAATACAATTGTATTTATCGAAATTAAAGAAAACATGCAGTAAGAGGGAAAACAATTTCTATGTTGGTATATTTCCACTTTATGCTTGAGCAGTTTTAATTTGCAAAGTCAGATTCACAAAGCTAATGTAGTGTAACGCAACCTGCTTCTATACTTAGCAGATGTAATACATTCAGTTTGCTTTGCTGCACTCTTGTTCCAACTGGATTTAAAATATATATATATATATATATATATATTCAACTAAGATAATAGACGCTTGGCTCCAAAGCTATTGAAAATGATATGAAGCCCCGTCCCTTTGTGTTGCCCTAAGCATGTGTTGAGTGGAATCTGGCCATGTGTGCAACCCGGAAATGAGTATTTCATTAAGCGCGAAAGCGCCTGATTTTTCAACACAAAGCAAATGATAAGTTATTTTGAGCTGCTTTAACGTTTCTGGAGAAGATCAGAGCAGCTGTGGATCTGGCTGGAGTACTGTGATGATACTAATCACAGCACTCGGGCCACTCCCATTAGTGGTCAGTCCCCAACTTCAGCAGCAGGAGAAGAGTTCCAGTTCCGATGGTGTCAGTAGCCTCCTGATTGTATATGCGTTCCATCCATTCCCTGAGTGTTGAGCGTCGGCTCGATCCCCCGGTAACTCCTCGCAGCGCCATTCTCTTCAAACTGTAATAATCCATCTGCGCCTCGGCACTGTTCTCCCGTTCCCAGAGGGCCTTCACAATATTCTGCAGAACTAGTTAAGGAAGGAAATATTCCTCCTTCAGTTGCCTATTAAATCAAGGAAAATTTCCTGATAAAACTGCGCGCCCCGAATTATACCACTTTGCCCCTTTAAACGTTGTGTTAACCGAACGCAAAGTGGAACCCGCCAATCTGCCATATGCTCACGTTCGCCCGAAACGGAAGCAATAAATCTGGTTGTCCTGCCGGAGGAAATCTGGCCCATAGATAGACAAGCAGGACCGTTAGCCTCAAAATACACTCACAGACGGAGAAGGACTAGTTACTGGCCCTTGGCTCTGGAGATAATACATAAAATGGTGGTGTCCGGGTGGGCACAGTGGCAGCTAGCTACCATATAGGACATTCAGTATCAGGTGGTTCCAGGAGAGTGGAGCGAACAAGAAGGGTAATCACTCTGATCAGGTTGGTGCGAACAGCAGCCATATTGTGAGGAGACGAAGAAACATGTGTCTGATTTTTCCCCCTCTGGGCTGCTACCTAAAGGTTTGATCACCCCTGAGATTTCTTGAGTCTCATCCTCCATGATAGACGCCAATTACTGCCTGTATTGGCCACTTTGCGGTGTAGAAAGAAAGGTCTTCAGCCTGAGTATTTATAGACGCATGGCTAGTACTGTCGCCATGGACTGTGTAGGTTAAGATTTAATGTTTGCAAACGATCCACCAGACACACAAACAGCCTCACCGAGGTTTCGATCCTGTGTCTCTCGCCCCAGAACCCAGCATTCTTACCGGCTGGTCAGCCGTTCCTGAATGAGGAGGCCAAAGGCAGACCAACGAGGCCTGTCTCAGATACCCCGTTTAACCATCACGGATATTATAACTGGGGCACATTTAAAGGATTTTAAGCCTAGTGCAAACGGCAGTTTTCTGCGCGTACGGAATATGTTTATATTCCCAAGATATCTCACGAAGAAAACACAAACAGTGTTCTTTGCCACATAATGAGAAGAGAGACATTGGAGAACATCGTGACAACCGGAAACATAAGTGGAAAAGCGGGTGGGGCAGATCAAGAGAGAAGATGTTAGATGGACTGAAACGAAACATGGAGGGATATCATCAAGAGAGCTGTTCCAGGCAACAGGGATCGTGATCTGTGGAGACGCATGAGTGCCTACGCCAGTTGACAGGGCACATAATGATGATTTATAAACCAAGACATAAACAATTAATAAATCGGCAAAAACATATCTAGGGCACCTTGTTAGATCTCTGAAAGATCAGTACCTATGCATCAAGTTTTTTTTTTTTAAATATATATTTCTGAACGATAAAAACACATTCATTAAGTGGCTATCTTGTGCAAATTATGTGCCCATTTTATGTGTCAATCCATATTATTTTCATAGCATCAGAACAATCAATAATAAGCAGGCGAACACGACAAAACAGTAAATGGGGAAAAACATGACACAGCTGGGTGAGAGTTTATAAAACAAAATAAGCAACGTCAGCTAAATTAAAATATGAAATGTTGAATACAAGCGGAGAGTCCTGAACGCCAATACCTGTCCCAGACGAGTTCAACCTGAGCATTAAATCATCAACGCTAATGGCACCAGTAATTCGCATAGGGCTCTGATTTGATTTATCCATTCCGTGCTGTCCTCCATAATCCTTTCAATATCATGTTTGGAATCCATTATGGCACTTCCGACCTCGTTTCTAAACTTAACTAGTTCTTCTCTTGGTCAATTGTTCCTGTCTGGCTACCTCAGGCTGCATCCCAGTGTCCAGTAACCTGGGCAAGGATGCTGAGTCCTGCTTGTTCTTGTGGTTTTTTCTATTTCTGCTTTCCGCGTAACATAAATGACAATACTCTTGTCCATTTCCAGTCCAGTTGTGGTAACCGCCTTTTCCACCAGTTAATCTACACTTTCGTTACCCTAAACACCCGCATCGCCCGGCACAAAAATAAAGGTTTAGCGAGTTATTCGTGATGCATCTAATGAGAGAATCCATTTTTGTCTTTCGAAGCCGTCTTGGATTTTCTTGTTTACATAATCATCACTGAGGAAGATTAATTAACGCATTCCTTCCATTGCCAGTAAACATACATGCCCCAGTGTTATCACATACATGAATGCGTGCTTTTATGTTTGAGGCGTGTTCGATGAGATTGCCTCCTCAGAACGACCAACAGAATGCGTACACGTTGCCTAACCTGTGAGTTGCGTACATCCCACGTGATCCACCAGCCTACATAAATAAGTGAAACGTTTATTTACATCCACACCTCATCATCATTATTATCATTAAGTATCAAACTGGTGCGTGTGATAATTTATTCATGAAACCACTCTACTTCTAATGTATCACAATCCAAACTCTATTCATTTCCACTATTATATCATTATAATGATGATGACGATGATGGTAAAGATGACGATGATGATGGTGACGATAATGGTGATGATGACGAAGATGATAGTGACGATGACCATGATGATAGATCTGATGACGATGATAATTGTAATGATGACGAAGATGATGGTGACGATGATGATGGTGACGATGACGAAGATGATGATGGTGACGATGACAATGGTGATGACGACGATGATGATGGTGATAATGACGATGGTGACGATGACGAAGATGATGGTGACGAGGATGATGGTGACGATGACGAAGATGGTGATGGTGACGATAACAATGGTGATGACGACGATGATGATGGTGATAATGACGATGGTGACGATGACGAAGATGATGGTGACGAGGATGATGGTGACGATGACGAGGATGGTGATGATGACGATGATGATAATGATGACGATGTTGGTGGTGATGATGACAATGATGATGGTGACGATGACGATGATGATAGATCTGATGACGATGATGAAGATGATGATGACTATCGTTTTCCAAGTGTTTTTCTTTATGGCTTCCTGAGGTAAAGAGGAGGGGGGGGGGGGTAGGGGGGTAGGAATTTTAGAAAGGTAAATAATAGCAAGCACCCACCCTTTTGTTGCCCAAACATGCATGTCTCAGAAAGCGACTATTTGGCCGTCTTATCTGAGAAATCGGAGAAATCTGCCTGAGAGGCGAGGAATCAACAGTCTGCATTCAAATAAACTACATTTGTAAAATGGTTGTGCATGCAAAACTCAAGTTTTTTTTTTAGCAAAACCAATGTCTAAAGGTCCACGAACAACCAGAGTAGAGTTT